ATAAATAAACTATTTCTAGAATTTATTATAAAGTGCAATAAATGTACCAAGTGAAGTAAATATGAGAAATAAAATTTTACTTCATACATTGTGTATTGGTGTTTTTTTTAAAAAAAATTCTCCATGGTTAATCATACCCTCTAAAAATTTTTTCGGAGTTTTGAGAGCTTAATTGCTAATCTTATCTTACTATAAAGTTGATATCCACTAACTTCTAAAACTCAATATGCAACCATACCACATCATCATCCACTAGCAATAATTATGTATTTAACCTCATGCAAGCATACAACATCATCTATAATTTATTTAAATCTACAAATCAACATGCAAGTATATCTAATCATCACCCCTCACATCATTTTCAATATTTTAACAAATATATCTATCATTTTTATAATATTTAACATATACTTATCAATACGTTCCACATTAAATCATTTGTTTTATGATAAGTACTGATAAACCCTCATGTTTCATTATTTTCTTCTTTTAACTACTATCTAAATTGTCGAAAATAGTATACTGAAAATTGCTTATTAATTCCTATAGCAAAGCGTGGGGAATCACCTAGTTTTAATAATAAGAAAGATCATTTCAGTGATTATTTAAATAAAAGCAATTAAAATCCCTCCCACAACTTCGGGCCGAATCTGACCCTCCTCCTCTCTTTCCTCCTGACGGGCCGTTCTCTCTCTCTCTCTCGCCCTTAATCCCCAAAGCCATCTACTCTCGCAACCAGCTAGACAACCCAGCTAACCACTCCCACTGACCCATCAGTCCCACGCGTCAGGTGTGTCTCCCACCTCTAGCCATTGTTGTGCCGCCGCAGCAGTCCCGCCAAATCCGGTCTCCCCTTTGCATACTTTTCCAAATTTGTCGAGGTCTTTGTCACATCCTGATTTTCGTTTCAGGATTTATAAATTATTTAATATAATAATAGAATTTATATTAAATGTTCTATAATTTACAAGTCAAGTTAAATGTGGGAAATAAAATTTCCTAAATATAAAGCATGGATGGATTTAATTTTTAAATTCTCCATGATTAAGTCAACTCTCTGAAATTTTCTCGGATTTTTCAGAGCTCAATTCCTAAATGATACAAAGAACAGTTCAGTAATTATTTGATCAATAATGATCTAATTATAATTGTTAAGAGCTTTTCTTGTTTAAAAATCCTTAAATTATAAATTGTTGTTTAAAAGGAATAATTAGAAATGATCTTAAAAGCTTAAAAGAGAAGATCTAATTTTAATTTGTTAAATCTCAATATAAAATTGGGCTAGATAAAATTTTGTTAAATACTTTACTTGATTCTATAGTTCCTAGATTTTTCTGGGATTTATTTGAGCCAAGAAAGTATTTTTAATAAATGGAATTGCATTTCATGAATAATTTAAATTGAAAAAGGTTTTTAAAAGTCTCTTTTGGCTTTGGGCCGAAAGCCGGCCCAAAACCTCTCTCTTTCTCTCTCCCTCCCCGGCCCAGTCGGCCCAGTCCGCCGAGCCGCCGCTCTCCTTTTTCTCTCTCGCTGACAGGTGGGTCCCGCCTGTCGGGGTCGTCGTCTTCCTCCGGCCGCCGCCGCCCGAAACCCTAGCGCCGCGCCGCCGTCGTCTCCTTCCAAATTCGGCCGCGTCTTTCCTTCTCCGGTGAAATCAATAGAGGGGAAATGATCTCCGGGATCTCCACCTTTTCTCTTTTGGAATCATCGTCTAAATCGCTTTGGAAATTTGTGGATTCGAGGTCGATTCGGATCGGTCTCTTTCCTCCGAACCCTAACCTTTCCCCGAGCCTCTTTGCCCCTATAAAAGGATCCCCGAGCTCTCCTCTACCGACAGCCACTCTCGCCTTCGACCGCCGCCGTGTGTAGCGCCCTAGCCCCGTGAGCTTTTGCGCCGCCGTCGCCGCCGTTCGTCCAGCCGTGCGCCGCCGTCGCAACGGTCGTCGTCGTCACTCGGGAAGGCCACCGTCGGGATCGCCAAGTCGTCGCCGTCCCCGTCCACCCCTTCGTCGTCGCTAAAGACCGCCGGAGCACCGCCGTCACCGTCGACCCGAAGACCGTCGCCGCTTCTTCCTCGTCGCCGGCGCCGTCTGTTGCTCCTCCGCCGCTTCTTTGGTCACCGGTGAGTTCGCCGCGTCGCGCTCTACGTGCTGGTGCCCTCCGTTCGCGTCGCCGTGCCGTCGTTCGCCGGCGAGCTTGCGCTCCCGAGCCGCCGCCGGAGGTGACGTCACCGCTGACGTCATCGGGACCGTCTGTCGTGGCCCGGTCATGGACCGATGGATCTCGGCCGTCCGTTTTGGGTGGATGGATCTCAGCCGTCCGTTCCCGTGAACCGCTGCCGTGCACCCGGTCCACCGCAAACCCTAGCCGCTGACGCAATAATCCTCCTTTTCCTTTTCAAAAATAATTCATTATTGCGTCATAATTCAATTAAAATCCATATAAGTGTTTTAATCCGATTTAATCTTTGAAAATTCATAACTAATTCATTGTAACTCAGTTTAATGTGGTTCAAGTTGCAAAAGTTGTATAAAATAAAGATCTACATATTAAAATTATCCATGAATTGAATTAAATTTATTTAATTCTTTTTAAATGGGCTTTAATTAGATTTAATCTTGTAAAATTCATAATAAATTCATATGAAGTCAGAATGAGGCCGTTCAAGTCTCATAATTCATCTAAAATTATGATATACATGTTTGTTTACTTTTCATGTATTGTTTATTTGGTTTTTATTAGTCTTTTCCTTGTTTTGGCGTGTTAGCTTGTCGTTTCCGTCCTTGCGAAGGTTCGCGAGTGCGTCGGACGTGTTCAAGAAGATTATTTGAAGATCGATTATTGCAAGGCAAGTCACACAGATCCTAAACACAATCCTTTGAGCATGTTGATCCTATATTTAAATTCTCTATTTATTTCAACTGTGCATTTATTTTCGAATGTCACTGGGTGGTGTGAATCTATTCCTTTGTTATGGCCTGTTTGCATTGATTACTTTATTCCTTGATACCTTGGGTTATTATAACTTGACTAGTTGAGCTATATATATTGGTTCAGCTAGATATTAGATATGATTGCTTAGCCATGCTTAGAAACATTAGCACACTATTGGGATAACTTGTGACTCACTATTATTTAATGATGGCTTAATGATAGTTCACGATGGTCAATCGTGATTGGTAAATTAATTACTTGCCAAGTAAAACTTGATAATGGTGGGTTGTGAGCACATGGTTTTGAGAGTCGTGCTCATGACAATTAAGGACCGGTTCGTGAGCTACTGTTGTGAAACATTAACCGTGCCAACCACAAGCCAGCGTGGGCAACGGCTTTACCTTTTGTATAGTATGATTCATTGCGGAGCACCAGACTGAGAAGTGGCGGAGATAAGCCCATGGGGGTCGCTGGGGAGTCCATGCCTTGTTTATATGGGGGTGATTATGATCCAGGAAAGGTGCGCTGTGGTGGATTGTGTTGTGCAAGGGGTATTGTCACAGCTCCTTTCCGAGGTACCGTGGTGGTATTGAGGCACATGGTGACATGTTGTGGGGCTGTGTCTTGTGGGTACAGTGGTACACCTCTGGCCAGAGTAAAACTATTCGAATAGCCGTGCCCGCAGTTATGGGCGGGTTGAGCAATATTTTTCGTGATTAGTCTCACACCTCTCACAATAATTATGGATGTTATACCTGTTAATAATTTGCTTAGCTCCTGGTTTGGAGTTAGATCTGTACAGCCGGGTATGGTTGTTCAGAATGGTTGGGCCTGTGCAGCATGGGTGTGCTGTTCAGTGTTGATTAAAATTTCTGATTAATTACTCCACTGTTTTACTTCTTTTAAATGTTTTGCTAAATGCTATTTTTGCAAATGAGCCTATATTATGCCATCCTTTGGTATCCTTGTGCACTTGCATATTTGCTGTGTGGCTTGTTGAGTATGTCATATGCTCATTCTTGCAATAATCAATCAACCTCAATTGAAGAAAAATGATCTATGAGGAGAAGACGTTTGGCTTATACCCCAGTTGAGCTGCCTGTGGAAGTGGAGCCGGAGCTTCGCTAGATTTTATTTTCCGCTGCAGTTTTCTTCATGATGAGGACTAAGTGCCTCATAAGTAAGTATTTATCGTTTTAGTTAATTTGATGAATCTGTATATTAAATTGTCAGTTTGTGTACCTCGGCTGATTCCTGGACGAGGATTTTATGCACAAATAAGTTCGAAAATTACTATTGAATTTCCGGGCGTGACAGTCTTTTGATTCTTAATTGCTAGGTGATTCCCCGTGCTTTGCTGCGGGAATTACTAAGTAATTTCTAATATCTATATCTTTCAACAATCAAGCAAGGAGTAAGTACGATGTTAATTATTAACAACAAATAAAATTGATTTGTCAAGCCATATTTGAAGAGAAATAAATTTAATAGACTTTGTAGAGGACTATAGATGAAATTTATGTTGTTAGCCAAGATTTGTATCGGAAGAAGCGAAAGATAGGGAAAAAAGAAATGAAAAGTTAGGATTTATTAGTAGTAAACATGAAACAAACTAAATAATATCTTCGCTATGATACGGAATATATATGGATAAATGCACGTTAAGTATGAAATATTATGGAAATGATGAGAGATGTGATGATTTGTATGTTGAGCTGGCTTTAACTTTATAGAAAGCATAGATTACTCCATCCGTCTCTAAATATTCGACACTGTTGACTTTTTTAGCACATGTTTAACCGTAAGTCCTATTAAAAAGTTCTGTGAAATATGTAAAACTATATATATATATACATAAAAGTATATTTAACGATAGTATATTTAACGATGAATCAAATGATAGGAAAAAAATTAATTATTACTTAAATTTTTTGAATAAGACAAGCAATCAGACGTGTTTTAAAAAATCAACAGCGTCCAATATTTAGCGACTGAGGGAGTGTATCTTTCCTCTACCTTTTCCCTCAGGAATCGGAGCGAATTAATCCGCGTAGTCTGCCGCTCGAGCCCGCGAAGCTCGGGATAATCCTAGGGTTTCCGCCGCCTGTAGCTGACGTTCCCTCTCGTCGTGATCTTTGGCCTATAAATAGAGTCATCTCTGCTGATCGAGCGCCGAGGCAAACCCCGGCCGCCCATCGAGCTTGGACCTCGCTGCCGGCTGCCGTCCGTCGTCGTGTTTGTGCTGGTAAGGATCGATCGCCGTCACACGCTCGTCGCGTGGTGCCCTCCATTTCCGCCACTGCGCCGCTGTTCCCGGGCTCGCCGCGCCGGTCTCGTCGCTTAATTAATTACACTTTTTTATAATAAGTGCACAAATTAATTTAATTGCTTCCCGTTTGTTGTTAAGTTGGATCCGATCGGATCGCGCGTTTACATGCAGATCTTAGCAACCAAGCAAATTACAAGCCTTATTAGTTGTTCGTAAATAAATTACAAGCAAATTACCTCCTCACGTACTAATTAAGATCGACACGTACACATATATATGCAGCTAGCGGCCATGCAACGCCGCTGTCTATCCCTCTACGTTGCCGTTCTCATGCTCGTCTGGCTCTTCTTCGCGCCGCTCTCCGTCGTCGCCGGCAGCCTTATCGCCATCCCCAGCGCACTCGGTAAGTACACACGCCTTCAATAATTTAAATCTCAGCCATAATTAATTATAGTCTTTATTCTACTAAATCTTATTATTAGAATGAAATTTCGACTGGTATTTAATGTTTGTTCATATATATGTTCTTATTTAATTCACCAGACGGTAGCCGCACCTCTCACCGTCGCCCTATTGAAAATCCACGGTTCAACGTGACGCTCTGGGAGAAAAACGAGATCAATACTAGACCTAAGGCGTCCCATGGATTTGACGATGGTGACGAAGTCTCCTACACCGTGGCCATGCCCTTCATAGAGAAGCTTAGGCGGCGATGCGCCGTGGCCACCGGCGGTAGCCATCGTCGCTGCGATGCCACAGCGATCAGGCAGTTTGAGGAGGATGTGGCTCCCTGCCTGCTAGAGATGTTGAAGGTGAACAGGGAGTTCAGCCACACATTGTCTAATTTGGATTATAGTAGATGGCTGGGCCCCTATTATCTGGATTTGGCCGTGCAGCAAAGGTCCCAAATGATGAACTTGTTTTGCATGAACAAACCCAATGTTTTAGCGTGCTTATGCTAGCTTTAAAATGATCAATTAATGCTTTCCACATAAAATGCGCAATGGTATTTCTCATATCTATATATTTATTTTTGGTCCTTTACTACATTTGTTTCACTTAAGCTCCGATCGATTGATAAATTGATTGCTTCATGGATTATTTATATTAGCAATATGCTCATGCATCCTACCATTATGCAGTTGTCAGGGTTACGGATGAGGTATACCCTCTACCCTTGGATGTGCATTGTATATTGATACGGTATACCCGCTCGTATACGGATAGTTCCCGTATACGTTACGGAAATCTATCACATGATAGGGATGATATCTACGGATGGAAGGAGTTCTATTCGGACAAGACTGGGTCTTTACCATATCGTGAGGGGTCCGATATCTCCGAGTCCTACTTGGAGATCAATGGACCCGCGGTATATAAGGGACCCCCTGGGCAGGACCTAAGGCATCGAATTTCACCGCCAATACACCCACCACAGCCTACGGAGCCGGATCCTACAGGAGCTAAGTCGCCGGGAGATCTAGTCGAACCAACTCGACTACGGTCTCGTCAGTATCATCGAGTTCTGCTATTCCCTTTGTAATCTGTAGTTTCCATCGTATAGTCCCATATTAACTGGAGTAGGGCTATTACCTGTCAAGGGGCCCGAACCAGTATAATCCTTGTCTTTTGTTTCCTTGATGTTGTACTACGTAGATCCTCGTACCAACGGACCCCAATACCCTCTATATCCGGTCTACGGGTATCCACCGTCGACAGCGGTGATATCCAATAAATGTGGACATGGAATCCATGCATGTTGCTAAAAATATATTTTATTCAATTCATAATTGAAGGCCCACGTTCATTTTAAAATATTATGTGTATTTCAAACGTGAGCAGCTCTCAGTTGTGTAGTCAATATTACCATGTTTATCTAAATACTTTTAGATGGTTCTTATTTCGCTACTTGCATAAACAAAAATTAATTAATGCTCTTTCCAGTGTTTTATCAATAAAATCAACATTTTGTATCAATTTATAAAATGTAGAAGAAGTATTTGACACATTTGAAGAAAAAAAATCATTTAATAGACAACCACTAAAAGAAATACACCCACCACAGCCTACGGAGCCGGAGCCTATAGGAGCTAAGTCGCCAGGAGATCTAGTCGAACCAACTCGACTACGGTCTCGTCGGTATCATTGAGTTCTACTATTCCCTTTGTAATCTGTGGTTTCTGTTGGCAGAATGTCATGGGACCCTTCGACCAGGCCTGCTGAAACCGTGCGACCAGTCAGGATTCAGGCTCAAGGTGTTAAGTTCATCAGGGCGAAGCCCCATGGCGAAGGCGACGAAGCCACATGGCGAAGACAGTGGAGCGAGGACGGCAAAAGATGGAGCCCCATGGCGAAGACTATACACCCTGGACGAAGGGTGCCTGCCGAAGGAGGGTGACTTCGCCATCCCGACCGCTCTGGCCGACCTTCGGGCCGGCATTCGCCCACCAGGCCCATTAGAGGCCCATGTATGCAAATGACACTATATACCCATGTAAATGTCCCTTTCATAAGGACAACCATGTAAATTCTCCTGTAAAACCTAAACCCTAATAGGGGGACCTGTAATAGGGTTATAAATAGACCCCTAGGGCCATGTAAAGGGGGGATCCCCAAAAAAATTCTCAATTTAATACACTTAACCGTTTTCCAACCACTGTTGAGTAACCACGTCTTTCGACGTATGCGGTTGTCGTTTCGACAACAGCTGGCGCCGACCGTGGGGACCTCTGAGCGAAACCACTGAGAGCGAATGCCACCAAAGAGGGTCGTGAAGGAGAAGGTTGCAAAGCGCAAGGAGAGTGAAGTAGGAGAGGCGATGGCCGCCGAGGAGGGAGCAGAGCCTTCGGCGCCCATCGCCGAAGATGGGGGAGTACCATCGGCTTCGGCACCCGTGTTGCAACCGCCATCTTCGGCCCCAGCCGCTCCGTCGGGGCAGGTGCCGAACACGGTCGACGCGGCGAAGGCAGCCACGGCAGCTAGGGCGCTTCAAACCAGGGCGGAGATCCTTTCGACAAGCCAGCCCTTGGCGCCCCAAGCCGCTTTGTCACAGCCGGTAGCGACTTCGACCGTACTCGCCGCTACACAAGTCAACCCCAACCTCGAAGCACAAGCCGAAGCCGACATGGAGGCCATGCGCCAGAACATGACTCGACTCCAAGACATGCTTCGCCATATGCAAGAGCAGCATCAGGCGTATGAGGCAGCACGGCAGGCCAAGATCGCTTCGGCCCCAATCCTCCAGTATTCGGCAGGCTACATTCCACCCTAAGTCTACCCGCAACCATCAATCCAGCCCCTTCCACCACAAGTCTTGGTAGCGCCAGTGTACTTCGCCGGGCAGCCTTCGGCCGCAACGGTACACCCAGTCCCTCATGTGTAGCCGTAGGCTCGGCCGGTTGCTGCCCAAGTACACCCCTCACCACCTGGCCAAACGTCACAAGCAATGGCGGAAGGGGTTTCGGCCTTGTAGGCGCAGCTTCAAGCTTTCCTTCAGCAACTCAGTCAACACCACAACATTTCAAACGCAGCCTCTTCGGCCCGACCGGAGGGGAACACAAGTCAAGGTGCACCCAGTTGGCTGCCGTCGAACCAGCTAGGTCCGGGGGCTTCGCCTTGGAGTCAAGGACCGCAGTTCGACTTCAGCAACGCTGCTCAAGCACCAACCGTTCAACCACAGGCACCAACACCAGGCTTCGGAGCAAATCAGGCACCGAACCAGGTTGCCATGGCTTGGACCCAGCCTCCGTTCAACCCATCCTTGGCGGCGCCCCAAGAGTCAGCATTCGAAGCCGGGCAGCTGAACACTGTGGCCCAACCTTACGTGCAAGCCATGACTTCGCCCTTCGCCAAGGCATATCCACAGCAAGGTGCCGCGAGCAAAGCAGGGGGCGAAAAGGGGCTACCGCTGAGTGGGGGAATCAAGATCCGTCAAATCCCACCCCAGTTCATGTTCCCTCTCGTTCCGCGATACTCGGGCGAAACAGACCCAAAAGAGTTTCTGTCCATCTACGAGTCCGCGATCGAAGCCGCTCATGGCAACGAAAACACCAAGGCAAAGGTAATACATCTCGCTCTAGATGGCATCGCCCGTTCTTGGTACTTCAACTTACCTGCCAATAGCATTTAATCATGGGAGCAATTGCGCGATGTCTTTGTTCTTAACTTTCGAGGCACCTATGAGGAGCCGAAGACATAGCAACACCTGCTCGGCATTCGCCAAAGGCCGGGCGAATCAATACGGGAGTACATGCGTCGTTTCTCCCAAGCCCGATGCCAAGTTCAAGACATAACCGAAGCGTCTGTCATCAACGCTGCTTCGGCCTGGCTGCTTGAAGGCGAACTCACTAGAAAAATCGCCAACAAGGAGCCACGGACACTCGAGCACCTGCTTCGCATCGTTGATGGGTATGCAAGAGGCGAAGAGGATTCCAAGCGGCGGCAAGCAATCCAAGCCGAGTACGACAAAGCCTCCATCGCCGCTGCCCAAGCCCAAGTACAAGCGCAGGTCGCCGAACCTGCTCCTCTCAACATTCGCCAACTTTAGCCGGCGAACCAGGGACAGCCGCCAAGGCCAAGCCAAGCTCCCATGACTTGGAGGAAATTCAGAAATGACTGAATGGGCAAGGCTGTGATGGTTGTCGAAGAGGTCCAAGCCCTTCGCAAGGAGTTCGATGCTCAGCAAGCAGGCAGCCATCAACAGCTTGTTCGCAAGAAGGTCAGGAAGGACCTCTATTGCGCGTACCACGGTCGATCCTCGCACACCACCGAGCAATGCCGAAATATCCGGCAGCGTGGCAACAATCAAGACCCAAGGCCGCAACAAGGGGCTACTGTCGAAGCACCTCGCGAAGCTGCTCAAGAACAAGCACCCCCGGTCGAACAGCGCCAAGACAACCAGCGCAGAGTAATCCAAGTGATTACAAGAGCCGATCCGCCAGTCCAACAGTCGAAGCGGCAAAAGAAGATGCAGCTGCGAGCGGTCCACAACATCACCGCGGCAGGCAAAGGGGCTCCGAGGTACCTGAACCAGCAAATCTCCTTCGGACCAGAAGACGCCGAAGGGGTCCTATTCCCACATCAAGACCCCTTGGTGATCTCGGGCGAGGTAGCTGGCTTCGAAGTCCGGCGAATCCTGGTTGACGGGGGAAGTTCGGCCGACGTCATTTTCGCTGATGCATATGCCAAGATGGGGTTGCCAACCCTAGCCCTCACCCAATCACCAGCCTCGCTTCGTGGTTTCGGCGGCGAAGCAGTTCAAGTCTTGGGCCAAGTACAGCTGGCAGTAGTCTTCGGCACAGATGAAAACAGGCGTAAAGAGCAAATACTGTTCGATGTCGTCGACATCCCATACAACTACAATGCCATCTTCGGCCGCGCAATCCTGAACAAGTTCGAAGCCATCTCTCACCACAACTATCTCAAGCTCAAGATGCCGGGTCCAACAGGCGTGATCGTCGTCAAGGGGCTTCAACCTTCGGGTACATCAAAGGGCGATCTGGCCGAAATCAACAGGGCAGTGCACAATGTTGAGGCCGAATCACATGACCATGCTAAACGCATGCCGAAGCCCGCCCCTCAAGGCAAGGTGATCAAGAAGCAAATCGACGACGCCGATCCCACAAAGCTTGTTCTGCTTGGGGGTGATCTAGGCGAAGAGGAAGCCGAAAACATCCTTGAGGTGCTCAAGAATTACATTGACATCTTCGCTTGGAGCCCCGACGAAATGGGAGGTGTTTCGACGGACCTCATCATGCACCATCTGGCAGTCAAGCCGGATGCCAAGCCAAGGAAACAGAAGCTACGCAAGATGTCCGCCGATCGCCAAGAGGCAGCAAAGGCCGAAGTGCAGAAGCTGCTCAACGCGGGGGTGATCCAAGAGATCGACCACTCAGAGTGGTTGGCGAACCCGGTTCTGGTGAGGAAGTCAAACGGCAAGTGGTGCATGTGCGTCGATTTCACAGACCTCAACAAGGTGTGCCCGAAAGACGACTTTCCCCTGCCGCGGATCGACCAGCTTGTCGATTCGACAACCGACTGTGAGCTCATGAGCTTTTTGGATGCATATTCCGGCTATCACCAGATCCACATGAATCCGGCAGACATCCCAAAGACAGTCTTCATCACGCCGTTCGACACTTTCTGCCACCTTAGGATGCCTTTCGGCCTGAGGAACGCTGGAGCAACATTCGCCAGGCTCGTGTACAAGGTCCTTTACAAGCAATTAGGGCAAAATGTGGAGGCCTATGTCGACAACATCGTCGTAAAAAGCCGCAAGGCTTTCGACCATGCGTCCGACTTACAAGAGACCTTCGACAACTTGCGCGCGGCTGGTATGAAACTAAACCCTGAGAAGTGTGTTTTTGGTGTTCGCGCGAGCAAGTTGTTGGGTTTTCTTGTTTCTGAAAGGGGCATCGAGGCGAACCCTGAGAAAATCGATGCCATTCAGCAAATGAAGCCTCCGTCGAGCATACGCGAAGTACAAAAGCTCGCAGGCCGAATTGCGGCACTAAGTCGATTCCTCTCAAAAGCAGCCGAAAGAGGTTTACCCTTCTTCAAGACCTTCTGAGGCGCGGGAAAGTTTAGCTGGATACCCAAATGCCAAGTAGCGTTCGACGAGGTAAAGCAGTATCTGCAAAGCCCACCCGCCTTGGTCAGCCCAACACCAGGAAGCGAACTGCTGCTCCATCTAGCAGCTTCGCTGGTGGCGGTCAGTGCAGCTCTTGTCCAAGAGACAGAGTCAGGCCAGAAACCAGTGTATTTCGTCTCCGAAGCTTTGTAAGGGGCGAAGACAAGATACATCGAAATGGAAAAGCTCGCTTACGCCGTAGTGATGGCTTCGCGCAAGCTTAAGCACTATTTTCAGGCCCACAAAGTCACTGTGCCGTCGCAGTATCCTTTGGGCGAAGTGCGAGATCACTGGCCGACTCAGCAAGTGGGCAGCAGAGTTATCACCTTTCGACCTGCATTTTGTTGCCCGTAAGGCCATCAAGTCCCAAGTCTTAGCTGACTTCGTGGCCGAATGGACGCCGGCGTTCGCCGCCGAACCCGAGCCCGTCGAACAGCCTTGGGTAATGCACTCCGACGGCTCGTGGTCACACAAGGGGGCGGGCGCCGCGGCAGTACTCTCTTCGCCAGGGGGCGTGCCCATTTGGTATGCCGCAAGGTTGCAGTTCGACACGACCAACAATACGGCCGAATACGAAGCTGTACTTTTGGGCCTAAGAAAGGGGAAAGCTTTGGGGGTTCGGCGCTTGCTCATCCGAACAGACTCCAAACTGGTGGCAAGTCATATTGACAAATCCTTTGAGGCAAAAGAAGAAGGAATGAAAAGATATCTAGAGGCTGTTCGGTCTATGGAAAAGTGCTTCGCCGGCATTATGGTCGAACACTTACCTAGAGGCCAGATTGAAGAAGCAGATACCCTGGCGAAATCTGCTGCCTGTGAAGGCCCGCATTCACCAGGCATCTTTTTTGAGGTCTTGTATGCACCAAGTGTGCCCACAGAAAGCCTGGACATCATGGCTATCGACCTGGCAGAACTGGGCGAAGACCAAGAGGACTGGCGAACACCGTTCGTCAAGTACCTCAATAACGGCTGGCTCCCAGAGGAGGAAGCAGAAGCGAAGCGATTACAGCTCAGAGCCGCAAAATACAAGCTTGTCTCCGGCCAGCTGTATCGCTCCGGGGTGCTCCAACCCCTACTTCGCTGCATCTCTTTCACCGAAGGAGAAGAAATGGCGAAAGAAATACACCAGGGGCTATGCGGTGCACATCAAGCCGCGAGAACAGTCGCCTCCAAAGTGTTTCTCCAGGGAGTCTATTGGCCCACTGTGCTGAAAGTTTGTGTCGAGCGAGCCAGGAAGTGTGAAAGCTGCCAGTGGCATAGCCGAAGCCAAACCGCACCTCACTACGAGCTGCAACCTATCGCACCAGTATGGCCTTTCACCAGATGGGGGCTAGACATCATCGTCCTATTCCCTGTGGCAAGAAATGGGTACAAGTTCGCGATTGTAGCCATCGAATACTTCTCCCGCTGGATCGAGGCCGAACCACTCGGCGCGATCACTTCGGCAGTTGTACAGAAGTTCGTGTGGAAAAACATTGTTTGCTGTTTCGGAGTGCCGAAGGAGTTCATCACTGATAACGGCAAGCAATTCGACTCTGACAAGTTTAGAGAAATGTGCGAGGGGCTGAACCTGGAAATCAGGTTCGCCTCGGTCGCGCACGCACAGTCAAATGGGGCTGCCGAACGCACAAATGGCAAAATCCTTGAGGCGCTCAAGAAAAGGCTTGAGGGGGCGGCGAAGGGTAAATGGCCAGACGAAATGCTATCTGTTCTTTAGGCCTTCGAACGACCCCCGCAAGGCCAACCAAGTTCAGCCCATTCATGCTCCTCTATTGTGACGAAGCAATGACCCCGACTGAGCTAGGGGCTAATTTACCAAGGGTAATGTTCTCGGGAGGCGAAGATGGGCACGAGGTGTCACTTGAACTCCTTGAAGGGGTAAGAGTCGAAGCACTGGAACACATGCGCAAATACGCCACAAGCACCTCGGCAACTTATAACAAAAAAGTTCGACCGACAGAGCTGTTGCCTGGCCATCTCGTTCTAAGGAAGAAGGCGAACCCGGTGGCGGTCGGGAAGCTTGAATCGAAGTGGGAAGGGCCGTACCTCATCAAGCACAGGTCTAGGACAGGCTCCTTTCACCTAGCGACGCTGGAAGGCGAAGAGTTCGACCACTCCTGGAACGCTGCTTCCCTTAAGCTTTTCTATGTCTAGAATAGGTGGCACCCAAATCGCCAACTTGTAAAAATGTACATACTGTTATGTAAGCCTTTCGGCACAAAAATGCAAAAAAAAAAAGAGGAAAATGAAAAAAAAAACTGGATGTAGGGTTATTATCCACCTTGGAGGCCCGAACCAGTATAAAATCTTTGTGTTTTTCGCCTCTTTACCTGTGTGAATGATAATTCGTGGAAAAACCCCAAGGCAAACGCCTAATCAGTGAAAACACCAAGGGGTGAAACGAATCGGCCGAAGCATCGCTCGCCGAACGTTGAAACCGCGAGAGCTTATTTCGGAAATAACTAATCGAACACCGTTATGCTCGATCAATGTGAAAACACAAGCACTTCTTTCAACTCGGAATGTCACAAATCGAAAACGGTAGTCGAAAGCTGAAAAGTCAGCATACCTATTTCGCTAGTGTAAGCAAAGGGGCCGACATGTTTCGACCTAATGAAAGCATGAAAGGTGACAATGCAAAAATAACGAAAAGGAAATGAAACACATCTTTATTAGCTTCGGAAAAATAATCAAAGAATACAGCCATACAACATGGTACAAACACAGGAAGAAAAGGCTTCACAGCCCAACTTACAAATAAATTACATGTTCGCCCCCAATGCAATCCCCACCACCTAAGGAATGGTTCGACGAACATGGTTCGTCATCGCTACTAATGTCATACACAACCCTAAGAGGGGAAGGGGGCGAAACACAAACTAGACTATAACGACGCCGGGCGATTGCTTCCTGACAATCGGTCTTCTGATGGTTTCGCCAAAAGCGAACCATATCCTCACGGCGTTTGGTATGGACGCTATCGTAGTCCTCCAGGGTTCGCCCGGGGTGCACCCGCATCCAGCCGGCAACTTTCAAAACCTTGTAGCTGTTGCCGTTGATTATCATCTCGTGGTAAACTGGCCGAAACGGACACCGCACCTTCGGCAAACCCTTCACCGCTACGAACTTTTCGTTTTTACTTTGCCAATTGCCAAAGGGGGCCCGAATACACAATTTTTGGTGAACACCCTGCTAAAACAACACAGAAAAGGCAAATAGGAAAAACGCGGAGTCAAGACATGAAAAAGTGGGCGAAAAGGGTGGATTTTCGTATGGCAAAATAATGCGAAGATAATGCGAAAAATGATACAGGCGTATGTGCCGAAGGTTTCAAGCACAAGGGTTGGCCAAACTTAAGTAATTCATTTCATATGTTAACAAAGCCGTTTTCGGCTACAATAAGAAGGTAAGAGGGCCATCGGCCAAATATACATTGTTCGCCCTCCACGACGAACACAAAAAGAAAGCCAAAAAATCTAAAAAGCAGGTGGAGGGCCACACACCTCTGGGTGATCTTCGGCATCGCCTCCTCCCTCACCGGCTGCCGGCTCTTCGCCCTGATCTGCTGCCTCCGCCTTCGCCAGTTGCTCGAGCAGGCGCGCCTTAGCTATGGAGCGGCCGTCCTTCTGCCAGAACAGCTTATGCCAAGCTCGCAGAACGGGCGAAACATCCTGTGCACTGACCTCCCAGTCCCCTTTCGCAAAGTTGGGGAACTCGGCAACATGCTTGCAGCCGAACTGCTGCAGAAGACGGTTCTTCAAACCATCGAGGCGAGCCCGCATGGTTCGCTCGGTCGAACAGTGGGCCGCGAGGATCTGGTTGAAAGAGAAGAAGAGATAAGGCGAACGTTAAGACATGTTGTCGAAAAACAACAATCAAGCAACGTACCCGAACCGCCAAACTCTTGATGGCAGTGCAGCCCTCATCAAACTTGTTCAGCTCTGTGAACAGACTCGAGCTGCCAGCCGGAGAAACGAGGTTGCTCACCCCCTCGACAAAGAGTACAAGTTCTGCCCTGGGTTTCGAAATCTCCAGGGGCGAAGTAGGGCGCGGCAAGGGAATAGTCTAAAACGGATGTTTCGACCGCCGTTTTCTTCCCCTTCCCAAGGGCGAGCGGCGAAACAACTGGCTGGCGAACCGGGCTGCCGAATACCCTAGCCGCGGTCTTCACAACCTGATCGGTTGAGGCCGAAGCCCCGGCTGCACTTCCGCCAGCTCTGCCCGTATCGACCTTGACGCCAGGAGCGGTCGAAAGACCCAAGCTCCGACCGGCGGGCGAAGTAGGGGTCTCGTTCGAGGACTTGTCGTCACTAAAGACGCGACCGACATCGACGAGCCTCTTCCTAGAGGTCTTTTTAATCGAACCCCCCTTCGCCACCTTGGCCGCAGCGATCGCGACCACCGCCTTCGCCCCCTCCACATCCTTTTGGCGGAGGGGGGAGCAGTTCGACTCCACCCTGGTCTCGACGAGCTCGGGGCTCGGGGTTGGGGTATAGCCGGGCGTCTCGGCGCGAGTGTCGGCAACTTCGCCCGCGGCCTTTTCGCTCGCAGCCTCTGTCTCCCGCACATCCTCCTCTTCACCGTCATTTTCTTTGACGGTCTCCTCGTCATCGGCGTCGGAGTCGGGGGCCCTTCGCTTACGAGGGGCCTTTTTCACCTGCCCGCGCATTCGCTTGCGCGAAGGCCCCGCATCGTCATCGACCTTGTGAGTGTTCGCCCGGGGAGGTAGTTCGCCATCATAAACCCGGTTCACCCGGCCGGCCGCCTGCCGCGTGAGCAGCTGGCTGAACTCAGTGACTGACACGTCGCCGATCATCTTTCGGGCTTCAGTGTCGGCCTGCGCAAGAGTCAAAACTGCGAGGACGAAAGGTGTAACCATATTAGGCGTCGAACCGGGAAAAAGAGCAAAGCACAAAAAGTGTGGTTAAGTAGACTTACCATTCGCCCCCGCAGGCATGACGAGCTTCGGCAAGCCGTCGACCTCCTCGTCTTGGTTGATCTCGACTTTCCATGACTGGGAGAGGGGAAAGATGCGAAGCATGCAGAACTCCTCCACCAAGTCGCCGCAGCTGAGGCGAGAGCAGATCTTGCGTAGTAGGGTGAACCGGGCCTCCATGGCGCCATCGACGGCGACCTTAGGCTTCCTGTTCGGCGAAATGGCCCCGCGCCGCCACCTGAGTGCATTCACCGCGTCAGACCCAGCCTCGAGGGTATTGGAGTGGTAGAACCACTTCGCCATCCAATGGCGATCCTACTTCGACATGGCGGCGTTCACCGGCCAGACATCGGAGCGCTCGAGGCGAACATTGAAGTTCACGCTCCCGAACACAGTCTTCTTCATCCCGGCCGGGGTCACCACCGTCTTCGAGTTCACGGTGGCAAAGAATACTGCGCCAAAGAAGTCGGCGAAGCCACATGGCAAAGACAGTGGAGCGAGGACGGCAAAAGATCGAGCCCCATGGCGAAGACTGTACACCCTGGACGAAGGGTGCCTGCCGAAGGAGGGTGACTTCGCCATCCCGACCGCTCTGGCTGACCTTCGGGCCGGCATTCACCAACCAGGCCCATTAGAGGCCCATGTATGCAAATGACACTATATACCCATGTAAATGTCCCTTTTATAAGGGCAACCATGTAAATTCCCCTGTAAAACTTACACCCTAATAGAGGGACCTGTAACAGGGTTATAAATAGCCCCCTAGGGCCATCTAAAGGGGGGATCCCGAAAAAAATTCTCAATTTGATACACTTTACCGTTTTCCAACCACTGTTGAGTAACCACGTCTTTCGACGTATGCAGTTGTCGTTTCGACAACAGTTTCCATCATATAATCCCATATCAACTGGAGTAGGGCTATTACCTGTCAAGGGGCCCAAACCAGTATAATCCTTGTCTTTTGTTTCCTTGATGTCGTACTACATAGATCCTCGTACCAACGGACCTCAATACCCTCTATATCCGGTCTACGGGTATCCACTGTCGACAGTGGCATGCCAGGTAGGGGAACTTGGTTCTCAAGGTTCTACTACTATGACTTCAAGCCTTCCCGATGACAACGTCAACGCCGGCGTCAACCAAGGAGCTTCAACTTCGACGATGCTGGTGTAGACTCAAGTCGGCGAAATCGTCTTCCCGGTCTACACCACAATGCCGATCTCGACTGGCCCAGCAATCATCGGGAGCAAGAACGGTGTGGTTACGACCCCGGTCGACAACCCCATGTCGAAAGATCCTCCCGCGGAAGCGGAGAATGGAACATCGACAACACCCGAGCCCGAGAAGGATCCTAAGGCGGCCAAATCTTGCCCTTTCCGCAAGAAGTACGAGCCGACAAGGACAACTTTCGGGGCGACAAGAACTTGGTGTCTCATCCACAAGACTAGCAAGCACACCTTGCAAGCTTGTTCGGTTTTCCTCAACGTACGAGCTGAAATCCGTGCCTGCAAAGAGCGTGGAATTCAACATACTTCTCCAACTCGTGATGTCTATTATCCCATCCATAAGGCAAAGACTCACGACCTTTCAAGCTGCAAGGTCCTTCTCAGCGCCATGAAGACGTCACCCCCTAAGGTCCAGCAATCACGAATCTCTCCTGGAAATACGGACAAGGAACAAGGTGCGGCGACTACAACAGATCGGTTCGTCGGGGTAATCGATATCGATCCCCATGAGCCGTCTGTCCTACACCTGCTCGAAGACCAGGCCTCATCATCGACAAGTACACCACACGACGTGTACGCCATCGATGGAACCAGCACATCTGGAGGTGGTAACACGGGAACGGCGGATCAATCGGTTACACTGACGCCGGCCCAACACATCAGAACCCTCAATGCGATATTGAACGAAAGCCCTTTCGATCCCATCCTGAACGCTGATCTCGATCAATGGGCACAACGACTACGGGAGTCAGTGGCCAATCTCAATAGCGTGTTCGCTGAGGCCACCGCCAGGACACCACCAGAACAACCGTCGACCGGCGGCGCTAATGGGGAATAGCCTGATCAGCGGTCACCACCTCGTCAAGCTACTCCTCCACCTCGCCGCACTAGAGATCTCCGCGACCACTTAAATGGCCGCCGAGAAGCACGACTCACTCAAGATAATGAAAACCGTTCCCGACATCGTATCTCTTCACAACGTCGCGAGAACGAAGAACGAGAAGGACATCCGAGCGAGGACTGAGACCGTGATGATCGCCACAACCGCCACGAGCACGCTAATCGCGAGCAGCGGGTGCCGGGCGATACCAGTCAAGATCGACACAGGGACAACAACGATGGGCGATGAAGAGGCTCGCGAGAACCCAAGCGTCATCCTCGGAACCGCGCCCCGAAACCAAGTGACCCATCATCATCATCGTCATCTTCGTCATCTTCATCATCGGACAGACACCCACGACGAGTACCTGATCGCCGACAACCTACTGCCCCTGGTGGTGGGTGCAGGGCTTTCACTCGTACTCTGCGCGTTGTTCGATGACCTTAGAAGTTCCAACCGGGAGCAATAGAGAAATACGATGGAAGCACCGACCCTGAAGAATTTCTTCAGGTCTATTCCACAATACTCTATGCTGCCGGAGCAGACGACAACGCACTGGCGAATTACATGCCGGCTGCGTTGAAGGGATCTACGCGTTCATGGCTCGTTCACCTCCCGCCCTACTCAATCTCTTCGTGGGCAGATCTGTGGCAATAGTTCGTCGCTAATTTCCAAGGAACATACAAGCGCCACGCGATCGAGGACGACCTACATGCGTTGACGCAGAATCTAGGCGAATCATTGAGGGACTATATTCGACGCTTTAATGAGTGCAGAAATACGATCCTTGAGATCACCGATGCTTCTGTAATCCACGCTTTCAAGTCCGGCGTCCGAGATCGCTACACAACCAAGGAACTGGCGACAAGATGGATCACAACAACTCGCAAGCTATTCGAGATTGTCGACCGATGCGCTCATGCGGACGACGCCCTGAGACGCAAGAATGACAAACCGAAGATAGGAGATGAGAAGAAACCAACCAAGGACGCGCCCAAGTCAAGCAGGAAAAAGAGTCGCAGGAGTGGGAAATGGAAAGCTCAAGCTGAGGTCCTCGCAGCAGAATACGTTGACCCACCCAAGCACCCAAACCCACAAGGCGACGACACGAAGAAAATATGGTGCCCTATACACAAGACGGACAAGCACTCTATGGAGACTTGTTTAGTCTTCAAAAAGGCACTCACGAAGCAACTGGCGTTGGAGAAAGGCAAGCGAGTACGTGTAGTCGAGAAGGCCGCCGAAGCGGCTACTCAGGTCTCAGACTCAGCATACCCTGACTCCGACCTCCATGTTTCGCACATCTTCAGAGGTTCCACGGCGTACTCCTCAAAGCGAGAGAACAAGAAAGTGGAGCACGAAGTTTGTTCGACATGGCAGGGGGCTATGTCCAAGATGAAGTGGTCAGAGCAGAAGATCGAGTTCTCTAAAACAGTCCACCCCAAGACTACCGTTACCCCAGGGCGATATCCGATCGTGGTAGAGCCCACTATTCGGAATATCAAGGTAGCACGTAGTTCTCATTGATGGTGGCAATTCCATCAGTTTACTCTTCGCCAGCACCTTGGACGCGATGGGGATCCCACGAAGCGAGTTGATGCCCACTGGTCAACCCTTCCATGGAATCACTCCTGAGTCGTCATCCAAGCCATTGGACAAGATCACACTACCCATGACTTTCGGCCAAGCGAACAACTTCTGAATGGAGCAGATCACCTTTGAGGTCGCTGAGTTCGACACGGCGTATAACGCCATCATCGGGAGGGCTGCACTCGCGAAGTTCATGGCTGCATCTCACTATGCGTATCAAGTGCTCAAGATGTCTGGCCCGAAGTGAATAATCACTATTTAGGGAAACGCGAAGCTGGAAGTGCAGTGCGACAAGCGGAGCCTCGACATGGTCGAGCACATTCCCAACACACCCACCACATCTGAGCTTCCCAAGAAAGTGAGCAAAACCAACAAGACGCTGAAACCAGACGGCGCCATCAAGATCGTTCCGCTCTCCAGTGCCAACCCCGACAAGACCGTCAAAATCGGGGCGTCACTGGATGAGAAATAGGAACTCGTGCTCATCACTTTCCTCCGCGACAATGCAGACGTGTTTGCTTGGTAGCCGTCCGACATGCTGGGAGTCCCTAGGGAGGTGATCGAGCACAAACTCATGGTTCGACCTGACGCCAAGCCAGTAAAACAAAAACTGCGGAGATTTGCACTAGAGCGGAAACAAGCCATACGAGAAGAGCTCGACAAGCTTCTCAAAGCTGGCTTCATCAGAGAAGTTCTCCACCCAGAGTGGCTAGAGTGGCTAGCCAACCCAGTCATGGTGCGCAAGGGCAACGGGAAGTAGAGAATGTGTGTCGACTTCACCGATCTCAACAAAGCGTGTCCCAAGGATCACTTCCCCCTTCCTTGAATAGACCAATTGGTCGACTCAACAGCCGGTTGTAAGTTTTTAAGTTTCCTTGACGCTTACTCCGGCTACCACTAGATCAGCATGGCAAAAAAGGACGAGGAGAAGACATCATTCATCACGCCGTTCGGTGTATTCTACTACGTCAAGATGCTGTTTTGATTGATAACCGCAGGAAACACTTTCCAGCGCACGGTTCAAGGGGCACTCAATGACCAGCTCGGACACAATGTCGAGGCCTACATCGACGAGATTGTTGTCAAGACAAAGACAAGCGACCCATTGATCGATGACCTCCGGGAAACGTTCAACAACCTTCGACGATATCGCCTCATGCTCAACCTAGAGAAGTGCACGTTCGGAGTACCGTCGGGCAAGCTCCTCGGATTTTTCGTCTCCGGAATAGGGATCGAAGCAAGTCCCAAGAAGATCAAGGCGATCGAGAACATGAAGTCGCCGACGAGACTCAAGGAAGTCCATAAGCTAACTGGATGCTTGCGACACTTTGCAGGTTCGTCGCTAGGATGGGAGAGCGAGGACAACTTTTCTTTGCCCTGCTGAAGAAACAAGACAAATTTGTGTGGACACAGGAAGCCGAAGACGCGTTCATCGCGCTCAAGCGCTACCTGTCAAATCCCCCTGTACTTATTGCTCCCTAACCTATTGAAGAATTATTCCTCTATATCGCTGCCACTCCACATTCTGTGAGCACTGTCATTGTTGTCGAGACAGAGAAGGTGCAAAGACCGGTTTACTATGTCAGCGAAGCTCTCCATGACAAAAAGACAAGATACCCACAGATTCAAAAGCTGCTTTATGCAGTGATTATGACATCAAGAAAGCTACGCCACTACTTTCAAGCCCACAGAGTCACAGTTGTTTCCTCCTTCCCCCTTGGAGAAGTCGTGAAAAACAAAGACATCGTCGGCCGCATTACGAAATGGGTAGTTGAGCTAAGCCAATTTGATGTCCACTTCATGCCATGAACAGCTATCAAGCCACAGGTTCTTGCTGATTTTGTAGCTGACTGGACTATGCCTGAGAACAGGTCAGACAGTCAAACAGACAGCGAAACATGGACAATGGCATTCGACGGCGCACTCAACAACCAAGGAGCAGGGGCAGGGTTCATCTTGACATCACCTTCGGGAGAACAGTTCAAGCATGCAATTCACCTCAACTTCAGGGCGACCAACAACATAGCCGAGTACGAAGGACTACTTGCCAGGATAAGAGCAGCAGCCGCACTCGGAGTTAAGCGACTAATTGTGAGAGGGGATTCAGAACTAGTCGCGAACCAGTGCACAAAGACTACAACCTAGCACGGCGTGCGTCCCGACGAGAGCTACTCGAACCTGGTACTTTTTTGGACATCCTGACAAAGCCATCG